CCCGCGGGTCGAGGCCGCAGCAGAGCCAGGGCGCTTTTTTCCCCCAGCCCGAGGGAGGCTGGAAAACGGGTTTGGAGCCGGATGGGTCCGCTTGACTGAACCACAGCCCCAGGAGCAGCCGCCGCTGGGCACCGGGGGCCCCGAGCGGTGCTGAGCGACCCCGAGCAGGAGCTGAGCTGAGGCGAGACTGTCTGGTAAAGGCTAACAAGGCACACGGCCCCAGGGATGCTCCTAACCAAAACCTTGACTTGAGCGGGGGGGGAGAGGACATCACTTGCCTCATGGTTGTTGTTTTTAAAGAAAAGCTTGTCTCGCAAACAGCTGTTCAGTTAGCTGCGCCCAGGCGCATCAGGGAACTGCGCCCCTTTGCCAGGGAGATGTGGCAGAAGCGGCCTTGCAGATGGTCTGCGCTTCAGTCCCTCGGGAGGGCAGGGAGCAGTAGCTCCCAGACCCTGACGAAACACAGTACTGTTGAAGCGATGCTTGGCTTCAGTGAGCTGCTGAGGCTGAGCAGGTCGTGTCTCGGTGGGCTAACGCGGCATCGGGACCGTCCTTCACAAACTTGAGATCAGGAGCTGCTTGGGGATGAAGTGACCTTCTGGAGCTGTGGAGTGAAGAAACTTGGCTACCTGTGAGGAGCAAAGCGTGCAGCGGGTGGTGAGATGTGGCTGCTGAGTCTGTCCGCTCCTTGGGCATAATAAGGGGAAAACTGCTCTCGGTTGGGCAGGAGAGAGGCAAGTCAGAGTTGGTTGGGATCCTGCCCGAGAAGTGAAGTCCAGCTGGTGACTCTGGGACTGGGCAGCTTGTTCTACCTCTTGTGGGGGGGTTGATAAACAGAGCAGTGCTGCCTTGTTCCAAACCTTCTGCGCAGCGGAGTAATTCTGGCTCTTTTAGGAACTGGTCTCCTGTAAACAGATATCACCTCCTGTAACCGTGCCAATGAGTCATATGTTATGAAAAAGAGAGATATTAACTACAGGTGCAAAATAAGGAGCAGATGGAAGGCTTAAAGATGCTGTTCTCATGCAAATGACCTTGGTAGCAAAAGAAAGGAAGAAATGCTGTAAAGAAATCTTGTGTTTAGAAGCCTTATTGTAAGTCTCTGATAAGTGGGTTTTAGCTTCAAGGCGTAGGAAGGAGACAGGCATTGGAACAGTGTCTGCACACAGTGATTCTAGAGCAAGGAGGCGTTTATAAATAGTGGCTTCTGCCTGCTACACCTACTCCACATAATCTCATATATGAATATTCATATGACTAATTACAGTAGTAATTTCTTGAAACAAAATGGGCACTTAGTACTTGCGGACAGCATGCAGGTGTTTGTGTAAGGAGGGGAGGCTGGAAGGAAATGGATTGCTGAGGCTGAAAACCACCTTCTGAAGTCTGATAGCTGGGGAAAATAGGCCTATTTGGGCTGTCCCCATAGTCCTGCTGCTGGTGTGGGTGAGCACTGCTCTTATCTCCACCAAGAGCCAGAAATGACAGTTGAGGTCTGCTGTTGGCAATGAGGATTAGGTTTGTAGCACTCTTTAGCACAGCAGATCTTCCAGGAGGGGAATAAGACCTGTCTAGAATAAGCTCAGTTTTCTATAGCATTGGAGATGCTTTCTTTGGCTCCAGGCATTTAACAAAGCAATGTTTTACTGGAACTGCAGTGACTAGGAGATAAATGGACTGGCCATTATGTGCTGTGCCACTCAGACAGCATTAGCTATTGCTGTCTGAGATGTCTGGCCAAGTCACAAGAGCTTAACTCAAACTGGAAGAAGGGCTGTAGCATTGCTCAGCGAGGGGGGAAGGAGGCAGAGCATGGTCAGCACACCACCTCTGGGGTGGCTTCCCTGAGGCTTAGTGCAGGAGCAGTTCTGGTTTGAAACCTGTCAAATACAACCTAATGTAGGTGCTGGCTGAAGGATTTTGGGCTAGGCTTGACCTTTCTCATGACCAAAAAAAAAAAAACCAAAGTCAAAAACCCACTGCTGCCTTTACACGGCTTTTCCTAGTTCAGGCACCAGTTGGCAGGACTCCTACTTGAGGAGAAGCTAGGCAGCTTGAAGGGCTTGTGTGCTCCTGGGTGAGCAATCCTCTACCTGTCTCCAGCAGGAGCAGGCCAGAAGTGGCTGGGAAAAAGCAGCTGCAGTAACTATCTTACCAGGCTCGTGTATGTGGCTCCCTGACCAGGCGGTGCCTCGCGGGCTTCACGGCATCTCTTATGTTCTTCAGAAAAAACAGGTAGTAGAAGTAGGTGAAGTAGAGGAGGGAGGCGGTGGTCAGCACTACTGCCGTGCGAGTGGGGAACAAGCTTCTAGGCTTGGGCAGCTGCAAGGTTAAAGAGCTCTTGTAGGATTCAGCATCCCACTCAAGGATGTACGGTATTGACACTTGCACCACCAGTCACAGCCATCGAGTAAGCGTCCTCAGAGGGGATGCAGCACATAGCCCCTAACAGCTCTGTTGCCTGCAGAGATACTTCAAACAGGTCACGCTCTTCATCTTCACTGAAGAAGAATAAGGCCCTTCTCTTTGATCAGCTGCACCTTCCAGTTATCAGTAAGTGGGTTTGACCCCAAACCTCTGCAGAGGAAGCTATGCTAG